GAGATGTGCACAGACATGAGTTCCCACTGTCCTCTGTAAGGAAGACTGTCCAAGACTTCTTCAGGAGGTCTAGAGACAGCATGAAGCCCTTGGGGTTTAGAAGAAAAAATCCTTCCAGTTGCCTGTTTCACTTCCTTCCTTTCTGCAAATGTCTCTGTCAGGGCTCCAGCTACAGTACAGAGATCCGATGTTTGATTCCTGTTTCTCTGTTTTTTGCTTCTTTCAAATCAAGGTGTCACTGTTGTCTTAACTTGCTTTCTCCCTAGTTGCTTCTTCTCTGCCCAGTGCTATGACTCCCTTTCTTTAAAATGCTGGCATTGACCTTGAATTCTTCATTCTTTGATTCTTCATTGACTTGTTCCTTCACAATACCAAATGCCTCAAAAGTTCAAACCTAAACAGCAGTCAGACTCAAAAGAACACTGCTGGATTTGGAGTCAAATAGACAAATGAAAACCCTTCTCCTGCATTAGTTGGGACCCTTCAGTGAGCCTGGGAGTAGTGCAGTGAACTGCCCCACCCTGGTTTCATTGCTGTGGCTGTGATAAAACATCCTGACAATGAGCAACTGGGGATAGGAAGGACTTATTTAGCTCACAATTCCAGGTTACAGTCCATCATTTCAGGGATGTAAATCCTGCTCAAACAGCTAGCCGTATCACATCCACAATCAGGACCAAAAAAAAAAAAAAAAAAAAAAGAACAACAGCAAGTCCGTCCTGGCTTCGTTGCTAGGCAGCGTATTCTCGGCCAAACTTTCTTCATTTTACACAGTCCAGGGGTCAACCATGAAGTGGTGCTGCCTGCATTCAGCCTGGATCTTCTCACCCCCACAGAACAATCAAAGCAACCCCCCCACAGATACTGGAACAGTTCAACTGTAGTGCTCTACCCAAGTGATTTTAGGATGCGACAAGTTGACAGAATGCTGACTGGATCTTGCTTGTCATCTTGGAGAAATTTAAGGAAAAGTTACTCTAGCTTATGAAGTATAATATTGTATTATACACAAAAAGTTACAATTTATGAGTAGAGATAAATAGAGAACTGCAGGCATTTATTTCCTGCCCATCTTTCAAGAGAGGGGAATTATTTGGGGCCTTTATGAATACACACTCACTTATTTCTTACAATGAGTCTCTGATGCATGTATAGCAATATCAGGATTATGATAATGTAGCTGAAAACTTGCAAACAACTTGCTGGGTGACAGATCTAGTAGAAGGCAATGTCAAGATATGAATCCAACTGAGCCCCAAATCTCTTTGTTCCTCTGTATTGTTCCTCACCTGGAAAGCAAGTGTGTCTCTCAAGGCTACCTGTGAAACAGGTGAGGCTTGTCCGAGTGGTGCTGCAGTTACTGTTTGGATTGTTTTAATGTTTTGCTGTGGAAATCACTGGGAAATGACCTATCTGACATATAGTGCTACTGCCTCTCCATTTCTACCTTCCCTTTTTTTACCCATTCTCCAATCTGAATAATGTTATCAATCCAATGTCTCTTTCTAACTAAAGTGCAGGTACAAAGAGCCATAGTTGAAAAAGATCCCTTTAGACATCAGAAGTGATGGGACACCAGTTATCTTGTTCACATCCATGTTGACCTTTTGTTCCTGTCTTTTTCCAACTTCATTCCAAGGAGTGTTTGGCCTCCTAAGATCTAGAAATATGCCTCTTTGTGACCCAGAGGATAGATCCCAAATTAGTATTTGATGAATGAATGAATGAATGAATATTGAGTGAGTGAATGAAATTGAAATCATTTTTTAACCTCTGCCTAAGTTCCTGGAGAAATTGCTCTCTACCTGTCAAAAACCCCTCTCCAATAGCACATTAATGCAGAAACTAAAGATGTGTTCAACTTGAAAGTTACACTCCCAAAAAGATGTCCTAAAGTATACATTGATAGTAGAGACTCTGAAGGGAGTTGAGCGTTCTTTTTCCTTTCCTCTTTCTTTATTCTGATCTTGCATCAAGCTGACTAACTTCCAGGTGGCCCCCTGGTGGGACAAAGGGTATGGAGCTGGTGTGCTATAAATTATAGTGATTACAACATGACAGCAGGCCCCCAGCTGAGGTCTGTAACTCCCTGCTATGAGAGCTCTCAAGGACATTCTGTTTCTTGGAGGTTTAGGAACACAAATGGCTTTTGCAACTCACCAAGCTTTTTAACTTCCATAATTCTGACACTTGTTGGATGCATTTTATCTCCCAATCAATTTAATTAGGAGATGTCAGATTAAAAATGATCTGCTGTTCCTGACAGGCACTTGAACTCCAAGAGACATTTACAAAACCATTGTATTTCTTTGTCTCTCATTCTATCCTTCCAGCACCCATTTTAGGCAGCATGAAGAGACAGGGTTTTGTGACACACCAAGTGCCAAAGAAAGAAAAAGGGACAGCATAAAGATCATGCAGAAAGAAGCAAGGCAGAAGCATTATGAGGATCTCTACAGGTCACACACAAACCTTTTAAAAAGCTATGATAGAAATAAATATGCCCTATTTTATTTCTCACTATTATTACTTATTTCTGAGTTTTTCTTTTGTAAAAAGGAAGAGCGGCTTTTTAAGTGGCTCTGTGTATCAGAGATCAGAATTGCAAAAAGGTAAACTGGGTCATAAGATAAAACTCAAGCATACATAAAGATAGTCAGGGATAGGTGAATGAGGAGTGCCTACGACTCGGACTCTTATGTAAGTCCCAGGTCTCAGTTCTATCCTTACCCATTCATTTGAAAGGACACAAAAGAAAAGCCTCATCCACCTTAGATCATTCCTTCCAAAGCTACCAAGGTAAAAACTGTAAAATGAACCTTTCCACTATGTCAGCTATAAATGCAATAACTATATTCTGAATAAACTGCCCTCTGAAATGCCGATAGAAGCCACTCTAGAACAGAAGACAGCTTTGGATTTTACTTTCCAAGCTCTTTATGCCAAGAGGAGTGGTTGAGAGGGGAGATTAAGAAAAGCTATTTGCAAAACCATTTTTCTCATACAATGCTACATTGCCTTAAATTTTCAGGTAAACAGAAGACCTTAAATCTGTCAAATCACACTGCGTTGGGGGCATCCATAAATGATACTGGAATATATTAAACTGATTTTAACAGCAGATATTACTATTATGTGTTTGTATCTTTATTATTAAAAATTCATTACTAGTCTCCTCCTTGGTTTAAGAATAGCAAATTAGATGTTCCATTGATATTTAATTGTTGTCTCCATTGAGCCCATTCAAATCTGTCTTGGGCCTAATGAGCTACTCCAGAAAGAGGCTTCGAGAACAGAACTGTAATAGAAACAACAAATTCAGTGCAACGACAGACTTGGCTAACTATGAGGGTTTTCCAACTGTAAAAACTTCCACATTGAGTCTATGGGACCTACAAAGAATGCTGGCCATGTACTTCTAATTTCTGAGTAGAGACTTGCTACACAAATAAACTGTAAGATCTCTGAAGCCAGGCAGTTTAACCAGTGACTGGTTCATTCTGTTATTGCAGTCTTCAAGTTAAATTAAATTCTCAGAATAAGTAATTTTTAATAAATTGTAGAAATTCATGTTATCATTCATTTTATTTAATGTTTTGAAACTTGGATGGAAGGAAATAAGTAAGAGTCACCTGGGTTGACAAGACAAACATTGTCTTGGTAAAGCAACTGGTTATGTGTGTGTCATTTGAGAAGTCTTGTCTGAGCACTGGGATACCCTGAGATATTATGTCCAAAGCATACTGGCATTATTTCCAACAAGAATTCTGGGAGTGGAAGAGAATACTGGATGGAGTATGATTTGCTTTGTTTTGCCCTGTATTTCAAAATTGGTAGCATGTCCTCATGACTTTCTTGTCATAATCTAGTATAGGAAACAAAGATCAAAGATGGACAACAGAGACAAAGTCTTGCCAGCCAGCAGACATGATGAAGCAAATCATACTACAGGGTGTTCTGGACTGTGTTTACATTTCTGGAGAGAACTGTCACTCTGTAAATGTCTCATCTAACAGAAAAATTCCAGGTTTACCTCTCAATCTTCGATTCCCCAAATCATGCAAACCTTCTGAAAGCAACATTGCCTGCTGTCTTGTGTCTCATTAAAAGGCTTGCAATCAGCAGGAAGAAATGTGTTGACCATCGTGATGGGCACTTGAAAGAGGAGAGAAGAAACCAAGAGCCCATTGTAGGGAATCCTGTATAAATACCATTTATAGCTATTGTACACTTCCTCAGGGTGGGGAAAGAAACCTTTTATCCCTGCCTTATACAAGAGCTTAGCTATAACTTTGATTAAAAAGACACCCTATCCTTTCTGATTAAAATAATAGCCACTTAGTTCACCCATCTCAGCAAAAGACAGCAATGTAGGGACAAAGTACTTAATATTATCGCAGGGTGTAGGTGTGTGTGCCTGTGTGCATGCCTACATGCATACCTTTGACCAATAAGGCCTTGCCACTGTTAAAATGCTTGGTTGGTTCACATTACTATGAATACCACTTGAAAGTCAATTCCAACTCCCAAAACTGAAGAATTGTTCAGCTCTGCAAAACGAAAACAACAAATGAAGTTTAGCATGCAAGTTCAATAGGAGTAAATACAAAAATTCAAAAAGGTTATGTCAGATTTTAACTTCCCTATCATTATTAATTTAATTTCCAGTCATTATGATAATACAAAGCATTTAGAATGCATTTGGTGTTTATGTAAATGAAATTACTCCTCAAAATTACAATTTCAAATTAATATGCTATTAAAAATGTCACCAGAAAGTGCTTTTATTCTTTTGCCAGTGAAATAAACGTTCCCTGTTTCTTTTTTGTAAATGAAATTTCAGCATTTAAGAAAATCTTCCTTAGATTTTGAAAACTGTAATGTTTCTGTTTAAGAATTCTCCTTATGCTACATTAGTTCCACGTTCTTTGACAGCATAAAATATGCAAATATAGCCTTTTAATGGTGATTTTTCATTTTGTTGCTGTCATTTAACTCAGAAACGAGTGATGCTGCTGCAACTTATCACTTACAACAGTGAAGTCACCGAATTGATGTTTATGTTCAGAACAGAGCAGTTGACACAGAAACAAATACGCTTAAAACCATCTGCACCATCATGGCTTCTTCCTCAAAGAAGAATAGAGTTGTTGCAGTTCAGCCTTGCCGAGACGCTCACACCTGTGGGGCACAGAAGACAGACTACTATTTGAGAAAAATGAGCAGCTGAGGCTTGCTCCATCTGAACCTTGGTCACAGAAAAGAAGGGAAGGAAAAGAACATGATTGTGTGAAAACCACAGCTTCCTAGGAATCTCCATGTCTGTTCCACCCTTGTTTCTGGACCTCTGTCTTCCAGACTGCCCATTTGGCTCCCTGCCTTGCTGTCCACCTCTCTTTACAGCCTCTTTGTGTTACACAGCTTCTCCATCTGTTGCTGGTTTCCAACCTGATGCTTAGGAACCCCCAGAATGCTGTATGCTGAATTGCGTGGGAGTGGTACCTTTCATGGCTGTTGGAGCTGATAAAGGCAGGCAGCTGGGTGGGAGGAAAGTTGGATGGCAGGCTTTGCTGCAGCCACATGCCATGCTTAGCAGGGCTGGCTGTCAGCGGGGAGCTGATATCTGATCTGGGGAGTTGCTAGAACACAAGATGTAGGAAGCTTTCTACCATGCTGTTCCAGGGAGAAGGTGAAGAGGGGATCTCCCTGTTAATGGTAATGTATTGTATTGAATGAGTTCTTTCTCTTAGCTTGACTGAGGTAAACGATGCTAGGCAATTCAATAAGTTCCACTCTGCCTGATTTTCCTAATGCAGAGATATTCATATCCTAACCCCATGGGGGAGAAAAGAGATGTTTCTTTGTGGCCTGCCCCAGCACAAACATTCTAATGTAGTTAATCAGCATTCATAGAGCCATTAGCAGGCAATGATAATTATTGTAATGGTTAACATTAACTGAGCACCTGGTCCCAGAAATTACTGGCGTTTGGTGCTTTACAAGGTTGCTCTGCCAAACAACTTCTAATTGTCCTCCAAGCCACTCCCTCCAGTCCTCAGCCTGCCCTGAAGTTGCTCTCTGTTTGGGGAAGCTGACCACTCTGTACTGCATCTTCAGCCCTCTTTTAGCTTTTCAGCTCGTAAGTAAACTCAGTTTACACATATTTCACCTCAGGTAGAGAGCTGAGAGGACAAACCAAGCAGGGATATTACTCTCACTCTGCCCTGTCACAGCAAGTTGGCTGTGTCTTGTCAAAACCTCTAACCAGTAACAGATACTTTATTAATCCCCTTTGTGCCTACGGTGAGTGTTCTCGATCCCAGACCCTTGCCTATCCCCTTAACACTGCCTTTACCTCTGAAAGAATCCCTTTACTAATCCTGCCCAGTCACTCCACCATATGCACCATCTACTCCAGCAGATACTTACCCTTTAGCAGGTGTGGAAATTATGCTTTAGAACGTGCCCCAAGTTACAGATTGAGTAAACACATGGCCAAAGTAAAAATTCATTTTTCTAACTCTGTACTACTCTTCCACATGCCCAGGCTGATCAAGTCTAACTTCATAATAAGTATTACCGCCTGTCTCTTGTCCTTATCACCCTGAAACCCAAACTCTTTCTTAGACTATTACAGTTCTATCTTATTAAGAAGATTTGCATAGTTTTGGATAACAAAATAATTGAAGTTTCACAACAACAAAAAGACAAGGAATCTAAGGTTGTCATGGCAGGACAAGAATCCTCTTGATTCCTTCTACCTGCTGTTAATGCCCGTGTGTCAGCCTGCCCTTAACTGGTGGTTACACATATTGATTTCTAATGAATAAAACATGTCAGGATTGAGTTTAAAAACTGTGTCCATGAATCATTTTCTCTGAGGAACGACTCTGACCATAATCACAAGCCAATGCTGTGAAATAGTTCGTGAAGCAAAAACTAAGGCCTCTCACTGGCCACATAAGTTAGCTTGGACATGGCTCCTTCTCCCACTGGCCCTTCGGTATACAAAGCTGCAGTTCCAACCTATATACTGACAGTCACCTATGACAAACATTACGCTAGAACCTCAAAAGGTAGTAATTTTAAGATTCTTGACTCATAGAAGTTATGAGTTAATCAATATCTGTTGATTTTGGCCACTCGATTTTAGAATAATATAGTGAGTGTACAGAGGAAACTTATACAGACTTGGACTGTGACATTCATTGCAAAGGAATACAGTCCTAACGGTAAATCCTCTGGGTGGGTTCTGAGCTCGGTGAATCTTATAAGAAAGTTGGGGTGTGGAAATAATCAACACCCACTTTGTTCCAGACAAGTGCTGCCACTCAGCTACAGCCTGCAGACTAGCAAAGCAGCAGGTGGGCCTGCGAAAAGCCCACCTACCCCTGGGCCTTGCTAGTCAACTGTTTGACTCCTATACCAGTTGTACGTTCAGTTCACATGAACTATATAAAGAAATCTTGTAAGCAGACCCTTTCACCATAAAAGGCTAAATTCTTTCCATTTCAAGAATTTGGGAAAGGGTTTAATAAAAAACTTAAGAAAGTAAGAGAGTCAGAGTAATCAAGAGCAGGAAGTAACTGAATGCCAAGCTCCACCAGATACCCAACAAGGGCCACCCGTTTCCTTTCCATGGGTTATTGTTTTTACATTACGTTTTCTTCAGAGAAATTCAATGAATTAAGCTTTAGCCAGTGTTCCTCTCATTGAGCAATCAGCTAGAGGGGCAGGTGGGGGAGTGAGCTATCTTGTAGTGAAAACTAGATGGACACACAGTTTCCAACGGAAAAGCAAGGCTGCCAGCCCAGTCACTGTGGGTTCCTTAAAGGACTGCCTGCCTCCATATTGTTGCCTCTGATTTTTCCTAACAATCATGGTCAGGATTTCCTATCGAGTAAGGAGGGCTCATTATTTAATCAAAACTACCTGGTTCTGATAACTCACCAGTGTGTCCACACTGCAAACCTAGTGTGCATCAGGCACTTGACAACCCCACAAAGTCACATTTGAGAATGACTTAAGACAGATTGGACTTTCCCTTTATTATGATGATTGCTTAGGACTCTCAAGTTGTGCTAAGCTCTAAAATGCATCTCATAGACATCTTGCTTTTACTTGAGAATATTTACTGTCCCCACACTCTACTCATGAATCATTTGGTTCATAGCCTTTTCACACATGAGAAAGGCTATCTGGAAATGTTTTTCTGACCCTGAAGACAGAATGCAACTTTGCCTTTAAGAAGAGTCTCATCCCTTTGTAGACAGTGTTTTGCACATAGTACCTGATTACCATATAAGAAGTTATGACATCCTACTACCATTCACACTGAAGAAGACCAGTTACAGTAGTGAAGAAGCCTTAAGCATGCCTTGGCAGGGACCCAGTGCTTTTTAATTCAGTGATTATGAAACACAAATGGGAAAGCTGCATGTGTTTAAATGTGTTCAGCAGCCTCCTGAAGTTGTGCCTAAAGAATATGTACTGTGATTATCCCTTGCTCCACATTTGATAAATACCTCAGAAGTTTCTTTAATTATAAAATGAAAAAGTCTGGGAATATAGTTCAGTTGGCGGAACATACATGCATGAGGCTTTGAGTTCAGCCCTCAGCACTGGAAAGAAAGAAGAAAAGAAAGGGAGGAAGGGAAGGAGGGAGGGAGGGAAGGAAGGAGGGAGGGAGAGAGGGAGAGAGTGAGGGAGGGAATAAAGCTGCAATAGAAGTCAATGTGACAATTTTTGGATGCATGAAAATCATCTGAGAAAATTGTTCTCAGGACGGTTCTGTACCTTAGTTCCATATCTTCAGATACAGTCGATACACAATAGGCTTGGGAATTTAAATATTTAATAAGAACGCCAGGTAATTCTGGTAAAAAAAACACTTGCCTATTCACCTAGCACAAAATCCTTATAAAAATCTGGAATCAGTTCAGAATCTAAACCAGTCAACTCTCCTGAATAAGCACAGACCCTCCTTAACTCATGTGAACCCAATCACATCACCAAGTCATTGTGCCACCCAGAAGGAATTACTTCTGACCTGTGGCTTACAATGAGGGATAAAGGTGGGTCAACTAAAAGTTCAAACAAGCAATGGGCACTCCAGGAGGCTAAAAGGTCAGTTTAAGCATAAGAACCCCTCAGCCTGAGTGTCTGGGGAATCTTTAAAATACAGAGTAGAAAGGTCAGAAACAGCCAAGGGGGAAAAATGTTCTAAATGCTGGTAAATGAAGTGATAAAACATTTTGTTTGAACAAACAGTTGCCGTTTAAAACACCTTCAAAAGTGTCCCATAATAACAAATTGGTTCCAATGCTACAAATTTGGTAGCTTTGAGAACGATCTTATCAAACAAACAACTCCTCCTGAAGAGCTGTAGCCCTGTTGCCAACCCTGTGTGTCAGGCCCAATTGAAGCTTTACCACCCCCTTGACAGAGGAGTGCCTCTGAGACGTTGTGGCTGTCCAGCATCTAGGACATTCTGTTTCCACAGCTACAAATAAAAGTGCTTAATGTTAAAACCCTGCAGTTAGTTCAACTATCCTGTTTTACACACAAACACCCCGGAAATGGGTAGCTTTTAATGGCTGCGTAGGTTTCAAAGATGAATAGCAGAGACTTCTAAAATAATCTCGTTACAATGGATGGTTGATGTGGACTCAACTGGCCAGGGTTGCAGGCTAATGGAAAGGGACGGCTGAAGAAAACAGATAGAAAAGTACAGATAAGCCTTCGAGATGATCAAGAAAATGAGGGGTCAAGGGCTTAACCTCGAGGAAAACAGACTATTGAAGTAAGTGTGAAGCCTCCTTTCCTCCAAGGTTTTTCAAGAAGGAGGAGAAAGTAAAGGGGGAAGAGGAGAAGTTGTCTAGACAGAAATTGAAATTATAGGGAATTCAATAATATAACAAAACAGAAAGAATGAATATCCATACTGGTCCAAGAACTGGACATAAGGCTTCCACTAAAACCAAGACCAATTACTGGAAAATGTCCTTAAACTCCACTCTTTTAGATGGTCCCACCCAACCCCCAACAAATGTGGTTTCTGACACCTATGGAGGAATAAATAAAAACAAGTGCATTCAACCACTCAAGAACATTACACTAACCCAAGCCATGAACTGTGAGTACTTCAAGTTAAAGGAACTTTGCAAGCCTTATAATTCTGCATTCTTTAAGGAGTTCCTATTAAGTTTTAAATGCTGCAGAGATTAAAAGGGCATATTAATGTTATTAGAGACTTGAGATAAAATGCCATGCCTTGCAGGGTATCTTTGCATTTAATGAAAACATTTTCATCACATTTCTAGTCTATTATGCCAGATCTTCATTTCAGAAGTTGTAAGATAATCTTATTTTAATTAGAAGAGATATAGCAAGTATATTAGAGTAATACAGTTAAATATATTCATCAACTTCTTGTCAGTTAAAATGCCCCCTCCAGAGTTTGTTTTGCCAATGTGCTATAGCAGGTGTGAGTAGAATTATGCATATAAATTCAAAATGACTTCTAGAGAGACCTAAATGATGAGATTATTACTTTCTAAGGAACCCCTATATAACTATGTATAAACCTGTGTAAGAGTGGCACAGTCCAAAAGGATACCCACTGCCAAATACACCTGAATATTTGTGATGTGTCTAGTTTGGAATAAAATAGCATTTCACTTTACCTATCGGGATTGAATAAAATATACTATTGAAGTTACTCTCCCCGGTTGCTTTTTACTTTTTTTAAAATATGGAAGCCAGAATATTTTAAAATTGGTTTATAGGGTATGTGGCATTTCTACTGGACGCTGAGTGATGCCCTATGTCATGTATTCAATATATAATCAAGCTTTGATTATCTGTGGTGTCTTAGTCATAAGCATAAATTATAAATCACAAGTTAGCTACTTCTAAGTTCCCCCCAAATCCAACTTGTTTTCCCCACTGATCCATCAGTTAAATGAGAGACCGGGAAAGCTTTTCTAAGCTGTAGCCCATGAAGCAGGTCTGCGGCTACAGAAAAGAACTGCTCAGAGCCTTCCAAAGGAAGACATGGGTAATGAGCTTCCCATGGGCAGTTGAGAAATGAAGTCAAAAGTATTTTGTTAGGGAATCAATGTTTAATATCAACTACACTCCTGATCTAGATGTCCAAGAGGAGGAAGTTTCATCTTGTGCATTTATAATTTTAAAGGAGAAAAAAAGTCAGTGAAAAGGAATATACACAAATAAGCAAAAAAAATGTTTTTAGTAAACAAGCATCTCTAGAAACTGCAGTAAAACTTGTGAGCCAGGAAAAGTATGTGCAGCAATCAAAACAGAGGGCACATAAAAGACATAAACGTCAAACCAATAATGTAATGAGGCCACACAAAGTTTTTTAAAGGTAAAATTTGCTATTGTCAAAGAAAGGAAATTCAGAGCAGGGCAGAATCAAATAGAAAACAAATAGCCCATGAAGAAATCAATAGAGTTCCTCATAAAGGACACCAAGGCAGATGATACAAACTCCTTTAAGTACAACAAAGCTGGAAGTCCTGCTAGAAAATGCTAAGTTCACTCAGGGATCAAAGGTGGTGTAGGGAGAATCCATGATTTCTGTGCTTCAGTCTTCACTGTAGACTTGACTTTGGAAGACTCCCGCTTCTGTCTTTTGTTAAAAGACACAGGTCACAGGTGAAAGAACAAAGAGCAGAAAATGTCCTAGACCTGACTGACAAAGTAAATGTAAATAAAATCTCCAGAACTAGATGCCATTCAACAAAGATTTCTCTAACAGAGATCCAGCATGAAATAGGGAACTGTTAACAAAACATGTACCTCTTATTAATTAACACCCAGTGCAGTCTGCC